GTTGTTGCTTTTCCTTGGTCACTATTCCATAGAATTCCACTGTACATTTACACTTTCATTTATGCGTTTAGGTCACTCCCAGTGATGAACTTTTTTGGTTTTATGTACTATACTTTATTTTCACCCTCAGAAAAAGTATCTTCTTCATATCTATCTAGCTTAATTTGAAAGCCATAGCTTGTTTGCTGCTCACGTTCACATACATATGTGTGTATGTAAGTAGTTATGCATGCATATATACACTTTCCATCATTTTGTCGTACAAGCCTATGTCGCTTCCACTTAATAAACTATTCTCGTACACCAACTAATATATGTAGATATGTACAAACATTGTCGCCAGTTTAGAGTGAAAAGTTGCTAAGCCCTTTTTTACAAATTTTGCAGAAGAAGAAACTTCGGGTAGCTATTTTCTACAACTCGTTTGAAAAACTTTGAAAAAAGCATTTTGAGTGTTTAAAGGAGTGCCAGGCAAAACATAACCGCACCCATAGCTTGCCTGGCACTGGCTTAAAGTAAAGCACAACTCCATACAAATCAAGCGCACTGGATGGCAATTTAAACATTTCGGTTTCTTATCGACCTTTGTGTGCCTTTTTGACCTTTTGCAAATTTGCCTTTCATTGAGTATAAACGGGAAGAAATAAAAATGTATCCTAACCCTTTGATGACGACGCATTTTCAATTTCTGTTGGTTTATATATCAAAATATCAATTTTCACAAAAACTGGACTTAGCAACTTTTCACTCTAAGCCAGTGATATACTCGTATATCTATTTGTTTGTACATACTTACGACCTTTACACTTAACCAAGATAAGCATGGACACTTTTGCGAAATTAAAAATTAACTACTAACATATTGCTGGCGTAGCGGCATAACATTTTTGGCTACATTTGTTGGATGTTTGCTGTCGGGAAAACTTCTCAACACTTTTGTGACTTAAGAAAGAAAGAAATTCACTACACATCAACCGAAAATAGGCTGGTATTTATTATTTATTTATTTATTTTATCTTCTATTTTTTATTTTTTAGAAATCTGTACAATACTAAATTATTAAACAAATAAATGAAAGGCAGCGCTTGCAACAAGGGCCTTCGGCTAGTATTTATTATTTTGACTTTCCTGCTCAGTTTATTTTGTAAGCATACAGATTAATATGAACTAAGTAGCTGTCACTGGCAGGGTAAATGCTTTTGCCTTTTGCAACATTAAACGAATGTAATGAAATTGTATTTATTTACTGCTTGCTTTGCTACGGCCCGCTTCCATGCCCCGGAAAAGAAATTCGAGCAAATAAAACATAAATTTAAAAATTAAATAACACAAGAAATCGTTGCCGCTGGCTAAGAGAGGTCAAATATATTTTTTTAGTGTCAATCTCATTAAAGTATCCACGCTTAATTTTAATGTGACGTGGTTTATGGCCATTGCCTACAAAGTTTATTACAATTTTTTCCCTTGCAGGTACTATCACGCCTAGTAATGTGTACCTAACCTCCTATATCTTCAACAAATATTTACAACCGACTTCAACACTGATAGTATAACAATTAAGGAGTGTCATTAATTTCTTCATGATTCAATCATCGGAACAAAACTAAATTAGTATGGGACCATTACGGTAAACTTATGGAAAAATAATGAAGCCTCGATAAATCAGTAAATACTGAAGCTAATTTATTCAAAGTTGATGTTTGTAATAATTTGTTAGCAGAAAATACGCTTATAATAAACTTTTGCAAAATGGGCGTGACCCCGCCCACTTATGACCACATATTTGTATCCCGGTAGCCGTTCGATAAATGTATACCATTACGATTATTGTGCTGGCCTCATAAAGGCAAAACGTTGAAATTTATTGAAATATGACTAAAATTACGTCCACTTTTCTATAACGGTAAATTTCAGAAATGCTTTTAACTTCGATATTTCGAAATTTAAGGACGCAAGTTTTACCCAAAATTGATACTAACAACAATCACTTGAAAAGAGGTAACATTATCATGGAATTATGGAAAATTGGCGTGATGCCGTCCACATATGTATATCTATATAAGTTTATCTCATTATATCTAACTGAACATTATATCCAAGATTTTTGAAATAGACGTAAAACCACCCCAGTTTACCACGTAGGGGTAGTTTTTGAAAAGGTGAAAAAAGTATATTGAATACTTGCGCCGCGTATTTAATGTTCGGCTCCACGCGAACTTAGACTTTTTTACTTGTTTTTTTTTTTTTTTTTATTTTTAATTTCCGTCTTCAGTTCCCCCTACTTTTAGTCTTTTTCGGCAAATACGATTTATTCAATATCTAGATACCAATACCCCCGTTTCCTAGGATACCTCTTAACTTAGCATCCATAAATCTGCAGACCATTGTGAACGTAGAGTATTTTTAATAACGTATCAATAGCGAAAAGGCGTGTGTATTAAAAAGAAAGTAACGGCATTTTACATACATACATATAACCTTCATTGTTGATGGCTTTTTCGGCCACGGGCGATACTATTTTATACATGCCTCCAGGCCACGTCCGAGGTACATAAGAGAATCGTTAAAAGTAGAGTAGATATCGAGAATTTGAGTAGAATATCTAATTACCTGCAACGAAAAGCAAAAATAAAAACAATTAATATTATATAAAAACATTAAGCAATACGCATTCGTACATACATATGTTTTCTTAAAAAGGTTATAAAAACCGTAAAATGATAGCACTTTTTCACTCTGTCGACTAGACTATGATCTGGTGACTATCATTTGCTGGCCACAAGTCGAGAAGTAACCAAATTTATTTGAAACTTAGAGTTCGGGAGTTTTTGAGTCAGATTATTGGAATTTAAAATGGAAACCAAATTTTATAATATTTCCCTTTTCACCACAATTTCATATAAATGAGGAGTTTTCGAGGTCGCAGATTTCGAATCTGATCAGTTTTTTTTAATTCCAAATGAAGGAAAAAATGCGGCGACCAAATATTATATTTTTTTTCTTTTTCACCAAAAACTTATATACATATAAGGAGGGTTTTAGTAGAGTTGTCAAACTATCGATGGCACTATCGATAGTATCGATAGTTTCAATTTTTTTAGACTATCAATACTCATTGATAGTTTTTTCTTATACTATCAAAAATATCGATAGTTTAGTAGGACTATCGATCATCTCTCCCAATTTTTTGGAAATTATACATACATATGTTAATCGTAAATCCTGTTTTGTTTGTATAAGTTGTGTTTGTTTTTGAACTTTCTAAAAAGAGAAGTATTTTGGCTAAGCAGTTACTTAATTTTGAATGATTATAACTTTTATAAGATAATATTTATTTCACTATGATCCTGTAAAAACAAAGCAACCTAACTGATTTAGCGCTATCGATAGCGCTATCGATAGTGCTATCGATAGTTTTGCTTTTTTTTCGAGACTATTGATAGTTTTTCTGAAAACTATCAAAACTATCGATGGTGTGACTATCGATAGTTTGACACCTCTAGGTTTCAGAGTTCGATGTTAGATTTTTGCAATTGAAAATGGTGGATACCATACGGGCTTATCGGAAAAAAATTGTAGTTTAAAAATTTGTTTAGTATTTGCTATATATTTTTTCTAATCATAGCTGCTTCAAATAAAAACTTTTCCTTTTAGATGTAGGTATCGGGAGTTGTATTTTATTTGTATTTATTTGAAAGGACACAAGCACAACAAGTATATTACTTATAACTAGGCTAGATATAAAGTTGAAAAAAACAAATAACGTAACGTTTTTTACTTCAAAAAAGGCGATAGGATTCGAAAATTTTCAGGGACGGAAAATAATCATTATTTTTTAAATTTTACCCAAAAAAATTAACAAGTTGTAATCGTCGTAAAACAAATTTATTTATAGCCACGTATTTATTTTCGTACGTCTCACTGTAATTTACAATGAATTTTGTTTTTTGAATTTAACCAATAAAGATTAGAAATAATAATTAATATTTGAGTTTTAATTTTTCGCTCGAAAGTAATTATTACTACTTGATTCTTATTTTTTCGATCAATAATAATGATTACTCTATGATTTTTATTATTTCGCTCAAAGATAATAATTATTATTGAGTTTTATTTTTTTCACTTAAAAATAATGATCATTAAAAAAACCAAAAGCTATACCCGCGCGATTTCCGCCGTATCCCTTTCAGAGGGAGTGACACCCTAATAAAGGAATATGCCTCAAAATTTCAGTAAGTTGCGTCTCTATAGCCTTTTCAATTTTACGAATAATCTTTTTTTTTTAAGTGGAAAAATAAAACTCAATACTAATTATTATCTCTTAGCGAAAAAATTAAAATCATAAAATAATCATTATTTGTGATCGAAAAAATAAAAATCAAATAATAATTATTTCCGCTGAGCAAAAAAATAAAACTCATAAAATAATGATTAAATGCTGATTTAAATTATTTTACTCATAATGATTACCGTCCCTGAAAATTTTCGCTAACTTCTTACGGAATTCCCCTCCCCCCATAACTGATTCACTGCTATAAGCACAAATGCATTTTTTTTGTAATTTCTTACCAAAAATTAACATTTTTTAAAGTACGAAAGTAATTTCCATGATAAAAACATAGCAAGGTAGAACCGTTCTCTCAATTTGTCGGCCATGATTTTTTTTTGAAGTTTGCCAACATTTTAAACTCATATAAAAGTGAAAATAAAAAATAGAAATTGTTCGAAATTGTTGTTGCTTGAGATTGAAAACTGAAAATGTGTGTGTGAGTTTGTGAGTAAATTTAAAAATTAAATTGTTTGGAAATGTCAAGAATTTTAAAAGTGACTCTCAGCGGTTCTACCTTACTATATTTTTATCATGGTAATTTCCTCTTTCCATTTTGTTGACATAACTGAAGTCAAACAAATAGAACGGAAAAAAAATATTAAAAATTTTATAAAAAAAATAATAAAAAAAACATAAACACCCGCTGTAATCGACAGCAGAGATCTTCAGAATGTCACAAGACTTTCAATTGCTGCCGAAAATCATCAACGGCGGCGTGGGTTCCATGGTTGGCGTTCTGTGCGTCTTCCCATTGGACTTTGTGAAGACACGCCTGCAAAACCAGCAAATCGGGCCGAATGGTGAAAAACAATATAGCAGCATAGCAGATTGCTTCCGCAAATCCATACGCAACGAAGGCATATTGGGCATGTATCGAGGCATAACCGTCATTTTACTGCTTAGCACACCGGAGAAGGCCATCAAATTGGCGGCCAATGACTACTTTCGCTTCTATCTAACGAAAACCGATGGCACGCTGCCAATACCCCGACAAATGCTAGCTGGCGCAGGCGCCGGTTGCTTTCAAGTACTTGTTTCCACTCCAATGGAATTTATTAAAATCCAATTGCAGGATGCAGGACGTGTAGCAAAGGAAGGTCGCGTAACGGAACGCATTACAGCTACGAGTATTTTCCTCAAAATGTATCGAGAACGTGGAATATTCGGTTTGTATCGCGGCATTGGGCCAACTGCTTTTCGTGATATACTTTTTTGCTTCGTCTACTTTCCGCTGTTCGCTGGCCTCAATGCTATGGGACCACGAAAGCCAAATTCCGAGGAAGCTGCACCGTGGGTCTCTTTTATGGGTGGTCTCCTCTCGGGTTGTGCTTCAGCGTTTGTGGTAACGCCATTTGATGTGGTGAAAACACGCCTGCAAGCACTCCAGAAGCGCGCGGGTGAACAAGAATTCAATGGCATTTTCGATTGCTTCGTAAAAACGATGCGCAGAGAGGGTGTTACGGCGCTCTTTAAGGGTGGACTTTGCCGAGTGATGGTCATATCGCCATTGTATGGCATTGTACAGGTCATTTACTTTTTGGGTATCGGTGAGGCTGTGTGTAATACTACATTGTTTGGCCGAGGAGCTTGAGAGAGAGAAAGGTGGAAATGTAATGTGACCAAAATGAATAAATGGATTTTGCTATGTATTTGGTTTATTAATAAACAAAAACTCAATAAATGTATTAATAATAAAAATATTCTCCTACGATTTGTGTCGTATGCACCAATGTATTATCGGTTAGCAGGGTAAATATTTACTCTGACAGCCAGCGGAAATAAGGGCCAGTAGGTATAATTTTGCATAGAAGACAAACGACTGGCGTGCGTTGTTGTGCTCAAATAAGAAGACTAACAAGAATTCTCCAAGTCGCTGTGAAGAGTACAATTAGCATCCGTACGACAAAACTTCTCTAGTAAAAGAAATCATCCAAAATGGCAAACCCTTTAATGGCAAAGTTATATTTCCCCAGCAATGCGAATGTTGTTAATTCGCAGAGTTCACAGAACAAGCCAAGTACCTAGGTGCATCTGCACTCAGAACCTTCTACCTTTTTACTTGGCTATTGGTTCTCAAAAAGTACTAAAATTAAAAAAAAAGAATCTGCAAATAGGGAACACAAGACGGACACAACGACCTCATGTATTGTTGTAAAAAAAGGACAAATGCTTATTTACTCTGCCGTTCGCAACTAGAAATCAGCCACGTTACACACCTTTATTACTGTTTCGATGATGTATAAAAGACATAAAACGCTTGAAGACCGCATATTTTTCCTACTAAATATAATGTAACTTAGAATACAAAGAATTTGAATAAGAACACGCAACTAACTAACGCACACGTACAACCTTAGTAGCCATAAATTCCATTAAATTAAACTACACCTCAGCGGCGTCCATTGTTAGATGGCGATAAAATGAAATGACGGTCTAAGTTTCACTAAAAAAAGTGTTATTGAGCTCTTTTCATTTATCAATTTCAGCAAGTGCGTGATTTAAATAAATTACTAGTTCACGAGTACATGCGAGAAATTCGTAAGTGGCACATAAATTGAAATTTGACTTGTTCGTGATTAATTGGGCTGTGTCGTGTGTGCGCGCACATGGGAACTAAATATATAAGGCAAGCACAAATCACTAAACTTGAGTTAAATTTTAATGCACCCTATCGTATACATAAGTATGTATGTACACAATAGCCCCATAATTACACGCCAGTATGAGTACCTTACGAAGGGTAAGCAGATATAAAATTTGTCAAAGCTCACAATCAGTGAAAGGAAGTTTACTTCAGAGGTAATTAATAACATGAATCCCAGTAGATAAAAGGAGTAAAAAGCAATTACAGAAGGAATATAGAAGGCGTTACCATCTGCATGATTTCCTTAATTATTTCTCATATAAAACGAGCCCAAATGCAAGGCATTGCGTTTACGCTTTCGGGAGAGCAGCACAAAGAAGGGCTTATTTTTATGCGTAACACTTCACAGATGCTCTTTCGTAATTAAGAAAAACCAATAACAAAAATTAAAAAAATATTTGTTGGATCTAACGAGATTCGAACCCGGGCCTTCCTGAAAGCTAACAAATAACATCAAATATCTTTGCGCACTCAGCTACAGCCACAACATGTAACTGTGCTTTCAAATTTTTACTTGAATAAAATTTGTTAGAATTGTTCCAGCACACTTGTTTTCAAACTTGTGTAGCCTACTCACTTATCGAGAAGCACTCTGTTCGTACTGATATTTATATGTGCTTTCCACTTGCTTATGAGCTGTTCTGTAATACCTTATCAAACGAGGGCCTTGACAAAATTACTTCTGGGCATGGCCACACATGTGAATGTGTATGCACATACATATGTATATTATATATGTAATCGGAAAAAATAGGATCTTATGAAATGTAAATTGAATTTAAAATCCTGAAGAATGATTAGAAGTCATTTGTACAGCCTCGCTCTATTGAAATTGCACACTACCCGCGAGAAGAAAATTCTACGCGCTTGTATGTACATAAACACAGTGATGAGCAAAATTATTGGCACAGAGAATTTTTCACAATGTATGCAAAGTTTTTCATTCTAATTTGTTTTCGATCATTTTTTTTTATAAAAATATAGTACATATTACACCAAAAAACATAAATGCATATAAAATATCTCAGCTTTGTGTAAAACTCTAGAAAATTCTATATGTTTGCATATTAATTTGAAACTTTCTACACTCTAAAAATAAAAATAAAAAAAATTGCGTAAATTTCCTCGCTTAAAGGTAGGTTATTGATTTCCTACCTGCGGTGTGCGTAAATTTACTACAAAAGTTTATACAAGCTACAAAATACACATCTGCTGTTCGATTTCACCCGTAGAATTGTGTAAAGCCGCTAATAAAAAGAATTTTTACATACGAAAATGTGTAAAAGAGGAAAACACATATTCATTGTGTAAATTTAACGAAAAAATTTTAAAAATAAACAAAAATATTCTCGCATATATAGTTGCATTTTTAAACAGATTTTTTAGAGTGTATTCAAAATTAAAAAAAAAAAATCCTAATTGCGCAGTTTTATAGGAAATCAATTGTAGTATAACGAAATGCAAGTTTACAGTTGCTAGAAAATCGAGTTGATATTTGTCATTTTTTGGCGGGCGGTGTTATTATTTTTTTCCATAAAAAAACTTGTATAGTTAAATGGGTTATATAAATGCGTACTTAGAATTTTTCTAAAAATTCGGAATTGAAAATTGAAAATTTATTGAATTTCCCTGAGTTTTTCACGAAGTTGAGAGATTTTATATTTATGTTCTTTTTTTGTGTAGTATGAACTGTATTTCTATAAAAAATTTCGAAAAGAAATTAGAATAAAAAACTTATATTGCAGAAAAATCTCTGTGCCAATACTTTTGTTCTTCACTGTATGTACTCGTGTGTGCAGTAAATGTGAAAATTATTTGCATAATTTGTACACAACACACTTTGCTCCTTCTCAAGCAGGCAGTGAAGCGTGACACCAAAAAAATTAACAATGCCAATGTATTTATTTAAATGGATCTTTGA